TGAAGTGTGTCTGTTACGCTGGAAGAGTCAGAGTTTGGGACGGAGTCTTTTACCCCCTGGAGTGTTACTGGAGTTTCTGGAGTGCTCAAATAAACGGGCCTTTTTCCCCTCTGGTCTCCTGCTCGTGAGTGATTCATTACAATATCATAACATGGCTTAGATTTCTAAATAAACATTCACCTCGTCACTAGATACCCCTACTCCTGAAAAACTCATGCGCAAGGCTTTTTGTCCCTACGAGGCCACCGTCATTTACCCGGCGGGAGGGATGAGCGAGTGAGCCCTGCAATCCAGAATTTGACCACTGATGTCACTGCTTTCAACCCATTTTACACACTGGCCCTTTAATTTGGTACAACAGAGATGTATCCCATTGACTTTTTGTACATGTTTCACATTAAATGCCTACCAGTGGTATGCCAATTGAGCTGCTGGAGGACTTCTAATATGTAACATCTGTGTAGGAAGGTTAAATACATACTGCTCTTTTTCACTAAATCTGTGTAATTGGGGTCATTTCTACAGAATGACACTGCATTTACCTGAGAAAAAGAAATTGGAGACTCATATTTATGTATTTTTATCTCATAATTGACCCTTCACTAGGTCCCGGCCTTGTCTGGGGAACAATGTTTATTAATGATACTTGTTGCCTGGAGAGGTTAGAAGGAGATATACATTTCTTCCTTGTTCCAAAGCCAAAATCAAAAAAAAAAGTGGAGGGTTAGCAAGCTCGCTACTGAGGATACAGCCTGCTGAAAGTTAACACATGCTGCTTTTGCTTTTTAATGATTATAGCAGTGAATAAAGACCTACCCTGCTCTACAGAAACCAGTGAAGGGAAACAGGGAACCTGCCGTTATTCAACTGGCTATGTGTCATCGCAGTGTGTGCAGATGAAAGTGTTTGGCTTACCCCCAAGCTCCCCACCTATACACCAGCAGAGTATCAGTGGCTAGTTGAATATCTGCAAAGTTTCCCTTTATTAGGGACCTCGGCCAAAGGACGAAGTCCCTATTGTTTTTGCTGCGTTTATTATTAGGGACCTCGGCCGAAGGACTTACTTGACATCAAGTAAGATGTCATTTTTCAAAAATTCTCTTACTAAAAAAATATTTCCTCCTACACCGTTTATTGTATCGACTTCAAACATGCACACATGATAGATCATGCCCTGCTCAACAATTCCTCTGAACAACTTTGTCATTACTCAAACGGTTTGGATTTTATGCCCTCTTTAAGGTAACATGTCACAAAACCTCTTGACAATTTTTGCGTCACCTACACACACTAAAATGACTGCTGCTGCCTGTAGGAATGACATAGAAAGATCAAACCAAATCTGGCTTGTTTGTCTTCTCAAGATCTACAAATCACTCATTGACACCACTGACCTAAATCCAACAAGAAATGAGCTAGTGTAAAGTTCTCAATGGGCCCAAAAATTCAACCCGAAACCGAAATGATCCGAGGGACTTGAAGCCCGAAACCGGCCCGGCCCGACATCATCACATACATCACTGGGTCCGAGCCCGGCTGAACCCGAGTTGGTTTTTTTTTTAAATGGAAGGGGGAAAAAATTATGCTTCCCCTGTGCGCCTCAGCAGCCTGGCTTCCCTGGCTCAAATACAGTATCTTTAATCACTTAAAGTCAACCTTTGAGTGTTAGTGCTGCTGTCGCACCCTCACACAGTGCGCTTCTCTGACAGACACACTTTTTTTTTTCTCTCTCTCTCTCTCTCCGCTGTCCGAGCCCGACTCAGCCCACCCCAATTATCTTAATTAGTTGGCCCAAACCGACCCAACCCGTCTGGCTTATTCGGGTCGGCTCTGGCTCAGGTTGAAATTGAGAACTCTAAGCTAGTGCCTCTGAAGTAACATGAGCAAATGTGTCAGCTGTGAGCTAGACATCGTAAATGTGCGACGAAGATCGCATTTTTGACTTTTCAAACATGAAACCAATATCTATGCATTCAGAACAAGTGTATCTTTCTTGTGGTATGTTCAGATTGACGATCGGACCTATGGTTTGGGAATGAAAGGGAGGAGTTGAAAGCCACCTCGATCTGCCTGCTCTTCAACTTGTCTCTCTCTGTGAGTGGTGGACTTAGGATGTTTGTAGGGCAGGGGTGAAAAGGAAAAAAGGGCACCTACTGCATGACATGGGGGCCCATTGATGTGGAAAAAAAACAGTTGACCCCCTAAACATGCTCAAAAAGTCACCAAAATTGACACGCATGTCAGGACTGGCGAAAAATTTTAGAAAATGAAGTAATGAATCCTCAAAGTGCCAAAATGGGCTCTCTGGCTCCACCTAGACACACTAAAATCGCCGCTGTTGCCTGTAGGAATGTCGTAGAGAGATCAACTCGTCCTAATCAGATCTTCTTTATAACTTTGTCATTACTGGAATGGTTTGGATTTTATGGCCTCTTACAGGTGATGTCTCACAAAACCTCCCAACAATTTTCGCGCCACCCAGACACACTAAATGTACGTGTACACACCTCTTACGGTGTGTTTCACACCCTTCTGTCTGCGGCAGGGAGCAGTGCCCCTACCCATTGTTTTCAAACTCTTTCGTCTGCCGCAGCTATTGGCTCCGACTCCCTAGGGTGTGTTTCACACCTGGCGTATCCTGCAGGATTTTGTATCCAGGTGTGAGGTTAAGAGGTCTAGACATTCTGAAGTATTTGAAAACACAAAGAATACACAAAGAAAATGAAATTACAATTACACACCCCTGACCTAACTCCAACAGGAAGTGAGCTATTTGCCCTTTCAAAGTAAGATTTCGGCTCAAAATTGCTCTTTCTTCAAAAATCTTCTTCTCCTACACGTTTATCATATAGGCATCAAACTCGCACACATGACAGATCAACTCGTGCTTAGTGCTCTGTAATTGTAGCACATGTAGTATGCAGCATGACAAGTGACTTACATATCAGAGTATTTCTTTGGTCAACAGTCAAGTAACCACACACAAACACACTCTCACTCTCTCTCTCTCTCTCTCTCCTTTTGTCTCATTGTGTCATACAGATTACCATTAATGTATTATGTTGATCTGTTCTGTATGTCATCTATTGCACATCTGTCGTCCTGGAAGGGGGATCCCTCCTCAGTTGCTCTTCCTGGGGTTTCTACCGTTTTTTTCCCCTGTTAAAGGGAGTTTTTCCTTATCTGCTGCGAAGGTCCTAAGGACAGAGGGATCTTGTACGCTGTAAAGCCCTGTGAGGCAAATTGTGATTTGTGATATTGGGCTTTATACATAAAATTGATTGATTGAGTGATTGATTGATGTCATCAGTAGTTTGGTTTTCAGAAGACATCAAAGTTCTACTCCCAAGTCATAAGTCCCTTGTCAAAAATGACCTTGCATTCTATTGACATTGCTTGTTTTATCGTCATCTCGACTCTTACGAATAGGCTCATTCACATTGTCTACGTGAGCTGGAGGCCGACAGCGAGAGTCCGAGGTCCCGAACAACGCTGCTTGCAGCTTTAATTTTTTATTGTTTTCTGTCTCAAACACCAGTAACGTGGTGGTTCACTTTTAGCCTATAGTTAGGCTTTAGCTTCTGACTATCTTGATCTTTTGAATCTGTTGTTATGAATGACAACAATACTATGTGTCACACAGCGGCACCATTGTTGGGATCTGTGCCTCACCAATGGCCTGACCTCGAAATAGATCTCCAATTAAAGTATCAAATTGGCTTTCGGAAAGAATTCATAAGTATTAATAATATTCATTATGTTAAATAAAGTGACTTAATTTACATTAAATCAGCTCCTGGGGCACCATTCCCAAGAAGGGGAAAGTGATAGCCAGTTAATGATATCAGTCTCATAAAGCTCACTAAACTATCAATTTGGGATTTTGATTAATAATTAAAGTAATAACCATAACCAAATTAATAGTAAAGTCTGAAGTATTTTGGAGTTCTTGACATAGCAGAGGTTGACTATTGATTCACTCTTGTGCAAAATTAAACAAGCAGCAGGTATGATTCCAAATATATTTATTCACAAAGAAAGCAAAGCAAACAAAACATACAAATCCTATCTCACTATATACAAGCATGGGTGTAAGTGTGTGTGTGGGTGTGTGTGTGAGAGAGAGAGACAGACAAAGGTGGGTGTGTGAAACAATGGGCCGTTTGGCCTCCAAACAAAATGGCTGACAACAGAGAACTACAAGATGGCAGAATCAAAGCTGGCTTCAGAATAGAGCTCACTGGTACACGTGATCAAAGCGCACTGCATTGTGGGAACGGAACGCTAACTGTTGTTTACATGTTGTTCACCGGTGTTTAAGCTAGCTGTTGGTACTGCATTTGTTTCAAGAACTTAAAATAAAGTACGATTAAAACTCAGAATGGACCAGGCGAAAGAAAAGGTCGTGTGTCTGTACCGCGAGAAGCTGAACAAAACGGCAAAGGTGTGGTATTTAGAGAAAATTAAAGGAATTAAAGGGCTAGACCCATACAAGCACAGGGAGTGGACGGCTGACGTGAATTTACTTCCTAACTTTTCCCAGGCAAACCTGTACAAATACATGCTTTTGGGTGTGAGTGCCTACACCCACAAAGTATTCATAAATATCAGACCTGTGGAGCAGGGCCACATTCAGTTTACCGATGGATGGGTACACGACCTGAAGATTTTAAAAGTCGAAGCGAAAACCATCGTGCGCACGAAGGTAAGGACACAAACAAACACCACACACCATAAAACAACTTTCCTTTGCTCGAAAAACTGCCTGCATTTTACCAATATAAGAAATTCGCCATATTTTTACTAGTTTTACAGCCTTCACTTAATGTGATTTCCAGCCAAGCACTGTTGTCGGTGTTGTTGTTGTTGCTTCTGCTGTTGCTGTTGCTGCTGCTGCTGCTGTTAATTTTGCATCATTTTTGACTAGTTTCTGTAGTGGTGACTAGCTGGGATGTCGATGTTAAATTCCTTCACCAACAACAGTGTTTGGCTGGAAATCACATTAAGTGTGGGCTGTAAAACTAGTCAAAATATGGTGACTACTATGTATGTATGTACACTGCCTGGCCAAAAAAAAAGTCGCCACCTGGATTTAACTAAGCAAATAGGTACGAGCCTCCTATTGGATCATTACTGCATGGGCGATTATCTTTCAGCTGCCAACAAGTTATTTAACCCCAACTGGTGCAATGAGTTGCTTCTCATTTCCTAAACAACCATGTCGAAAGACACATCCCGTGGTCGTGGAAAAGATGTTAGTCTGTTTGAGAAGGGTCAAATCATTGGCATGCATCAAGCAGAGAAAACATCTAAGGAGATTGCAGAAACTACTAAAATTGGGTTAAGAACTGTCCAA